TGCTAGGAAATAGAGACAGAGCAGTTAGATGTTTACACAGACTTGAACTGAAGGTCATGGTTGTGTACAAGGAAAGACTGCAAATTCCTTGTTCCCTGAGGTAGGCTTTGCAAGTTCCTCCAGAGGCAGCCTGACCTGGCAGCAGCCGATTTTCTGGACCACAACTGTTCAGTTGCAGTCCTTCAGTTAAACTACCCCCAAGTCTGAGATCTTTAGTTCAGTTGTTGTTGTTGTTGTTAAGTGCCAACGAGTCGGGTCCGACCCATAGCAACCCTGTACAGGGTTTCCGAGGGTGTAAATCTTTACGGGAGTAGAAAGCCTCATCTTTCTCCCGCGGAGCAGCTGGTAGTTTCGAACCGCTGACCTTAAGGTTCGCAGCCCGATTCGTAACCACTACGCTACCAGAGCTTTAGTTCAGTAGCTCCCAACAATTTATGATGAGAATTCAGGAATGATACTTCCTGGTCATTTATACTTGGTGGTGGTGGTAGCATGCCTTAGAGTGTGTTCTGCCTCATAGCGACCCTGTACAAGGTTTCTGAGGCTGTAAATCATTACAGGAGCAAAGCAGGAAGCCTCCTCCTTCTGTTGCAGAATAGCTAGTAGTTTGGAACTGCTGACCTTGAGGTTAGCAGCCCGATTCATGACCACTATGCTACCAGAGCTCCTTGTTGTTAAGTAGTGTCGAGTCGGTTCTGACCCAAAGCGAACCTTTACAGGGTTTCCTAGGAGCAGCTGGTGAGTTTGAATTGCCCACTTTCCTGTTCAAACCCACCTTGTAGTTTAGGACATTAACCCACAACGTCACACCAGAACTTGGTTCCTAATAATCCCCCAAGGAGTGACAGAGGAACCAAGGGCATGCGATGGAGTCAGTGGTGGGTCAGACATTGCATTTTATTTTTAAATCACTTTTTCAATAAGGGAGGAATAGGCCCAAGCCTGTAAACGAGGTCAGTCAGGTCTTTTGACATATTTTCTATCCAATTGAGTAATGTGAGTGTATCTGCTCTACTTAGAGGAGCTGTTGTTCTAAATAAAACTCAGTGAATAAGAAAACAGGGACCTAGATACAATAGGAATATGATCAAGTTTAATATAAAATGCACTTCTTTGATGTGGTACTTTCCCAATGTTGTGGGTTGGGGACCCACACCAGAGGCCAGGCTGAAGGTCTGTGCCCATCCTTATTCTACGTCTGGAAAGTCTGATTTTCTCAACTGTGAGATGGGGTAAATAATACTGGGTAGTTCAGGCAGTTGTATAACAGGGTGTAGACAGAAAGTGCTTTACTTTTTATCTACTTGGTGGTGGAACACTGGTAATGTAGAGCGCTGGTATCATAGTAGATTACAAATTGGGCTACTAACTATAATGTCATCATTTTCAATCTACCAGTTGCTCCACAGGAGAAAGGTGAGGTTTTCTGTTCCTGTAAAGATTTAAACCCTTTACAGGGTCACTATGAGTCAGATAGATTGGCAGCATCAATGGGCTCAAGTGTGGCAACGATAGTGAGGTTGGCCCAGGATCGGGCAGTGTTTCGTTGTGGGGTGCATAAGGTCGCTATGAGTCGGTACCGATTCAGTGGCACCTAACAACAACGAGTCAGAACCGCCTCCAAGGCACACAACCATCACTGCCCCGGTGCAGAGTATGCTCTGTGCCAAAGTTCGCTAACAAAACTGCATTTACTCCCTCAATCTTCCAGGCGGAGACCATTTCTACCCTTTTTTGTATAGTGCTGTAGAGTCAGTTAGGCTTATAGTGACTCTATAGGGTTTCCACAGAGCAGCTGATGGGTTTGAATTGCCGACCTTGCGGTTAGTAGCCCTGCGTTTACCATACAGCGTCATACCAGGCAATCCCTAGACCTAAACTGGTGAGACCTAAACTGGTGGTACTGTTGGTGTGCCGTGGAGTCGGTTCCAACTCATAACGACCCCGAATAGGGTTTCCAAGGTTGTAAATCCTTACGGCAACAGAAAGCCTCATGTTTCTCCTAAGTGGAGTGCAAACAGTATCACAGTGGGTCCTGACAAACGCCAGACCTCACTCCTAGAAGTTTATTTTCTGGCACCCACCAGTCCCTACCGCTCGAAGCCCCGCCCCGGCGACCTCTGTGTCTCGCCCGTCGCAGCTTCACTTACGCGTACTCTAGGCCTTGCCCCTCCGAGTCCCAACTCTGGAGACCCCGCAGGCCCCGCCTCCTAAGCTCCACCCTGTGGTCCCATCGGCCCCGGCCCTGTAAGCCCCGCCCCAACGTACTCCTGGCCCGCCCCCCTAAGCCACGCCTCTTCCGCATCCCGAGTCCGGAACGTGCACGCACCGGGACGTCGTGCGGGAGCGAGCCCATCCGACACCCGGGGCCAGAGGAACCTAGCGGGCTTTGGGGCCGGTGAGGGCGAGTAGGGGCCAGCGTAATGATGAAATCTGACTAGGGAGCGGGAGGATGGAGCGGTTGAGTCTCCGAGGGTAGCGGCTCCTATGGGCGAGAGAGCAGGCCTACCGAGTGCGGGGCGTCCCGGTGGGTGAAGGTTAGGGTTAGGCACGGTGTGGGGGAAGGGGCCGAGGGAGGTGTGTTAGGAAGGCAGGACTCGGGCCTCGGGCTAGGGTAAGGGCAGGCAGGGGCCTTGTGTGGAGGAATTTGCTGCAGGCTACCTGGATTTGGAACTGGTGGTTGCTTGGAAAGGAGCCAAGGGTTTGACTTCTGCTTTGAGGAGGGTCCTAGAGGAAAGGTCGCTGCCCAGGTGCAGAGGCGGGACCTTTGGAAAGGCCTTCCTGGACTACTGCAGAGGCCTAGGACGCCTCAATACTTAGAAACCCTTGGCTTCCGGGGTTTCAACACCCTGGGAACTGCCTCCTTTTTTGAATTTTGAGGCCCAGATCAGAATAATGACAGGACAAAGATTGTCACTTGGGTAGCTTAAATTTTAGCTAGGAGTTCACCCTAGTTGATTAAACTTTTAAGCAAGTTGTCTAAACAGGTGATGCTCCAAGACTTCGCAAGCTATTGTTCTAAGTACTACTTTAATTTTTTTTCAAAAAGTTTTATTAAATTTACATTCCATGTGTTTTCTCATGTGCTTCAATTATTTAGGCACCAGGAATGTTGAGGATGTTGTAATTTCACCATGAACTGAAGGATATCAGGACACAATTGCTTGGGGGCTATTCACCTGCCATGCCCCAACAGTAATCTTTTCCCTGTATCTTTACATGGATTAGTGGAAAGGTGCTTTATTTTGTTGTAAAACAGTCAATGCTTTATCATTTGAGAGTCTTGGAAATAATATAAAGCTGTCACTCATCTAAAGAAAATTCATTGCAAAATTCCAGGATTGGAAATGATAGTAGAGATGACCTGGTCCAACATACCTTCATCTTACAGATAAGGACACTGACACTTGTAGAGGTAAGATTTGTGTAAGGTCACTGGGAATTAGTGGCAGACCTGGGCTAGAAGGCTAGTGTTTTGATTGGATTTTTTTCTCCATTTTACTGTTTATTAGCCAATTTGATTATTCTCACTAAGATAGGAATAGGAGATAGAATGGATTTAGTAAATGTGTATATTGTTGTGGTTAGTGCTGTTGAGTCAGTTCTGACTCATAGTGACCCTGTATAGGGTTTCTGAGGAACAGCTGGTGAATTTGAACCGTTGACCTTGTGATTCATACCAACCTTGTGATCCAGTGCATTATCCTGCAGCTTCACACCAGAATTCCCTAAATATGTATGTTGTTGTTGTTAAGTGTTGTTGAGTTGGTTCTAACTCATATTGACCCTGCATAGGGTTTCCAAGGAGCGGCTGATCTTGAACCACTGACTTTGTGGTTCAAACCAACTTTCCAGTCCAGCGCATTAACCTACAGTGCCACACCAGGACTCCTAAATGTAAATGAGTAATTAAATTCAAACTCCTTTGTGATGCCATTAGCTTTGTTCAATTTTGCGACCTCAGTTTTAGGTCAGCTTCTAGTGATCAACTTTGTGAGATGGTCTCAGAAAATGTTTTTAATATGTATGTTTTTGAAGGTAATCAGCAATGTCCGATTTTTACTGGAAGGAGAATATGTTGCTTTACATTGGTTATGTTGGAGTCCTGGTGTGGCGCTGTGGGTTAATGCGCTGGATTGCAAAATTGGTTTGAATCACAAGGTCAGCAGTTCAAGATCAGCCGCTCTTTGGAAACCCTATGCAGGGTTGCTGTGGGTCAGAATTGACTCAGTGTCACTTAACATTAGTTACAAAGATCAAGTGGACTCACTAAAGGCAATGGGCACTGATATCAACTGCTTGTCATGGTTAGCCGTTGGAGCCTTTAAGAGTTTGTGTGTATTAATAAGGTTTTGTTAACATAAGTCTTTGAGTTCAGGTGTGACGCTGTGGGTTGATGCACTGGACTGCAAAGTTGATGTGAACCATAATGTAAAGCGGTTCATGATCACCAGCCACTCCTTGGAAACCCTATACAGGGTCACTGTGGATCAGAACCGACTTGACAGCACTCAACAACAGCATAAGTCTTACAAATTTAGGAGTTAATATAGGAGCATTAAGAGAAACAAGAAACCTACCAGGTAAAGATTTAGAAATGCAGATGGAAATGCATTGGTGGAAACTGGGAGGGTGGTGGTGGTGAAGAACTGTTTAGCTATAGCTCAGGCTTCAGGAAGATCAAAGTAGAATAGAGATTGTTGAGAGAATATTTTCTGGACCAGACTTTCCTGCCAGAGTGTTGGCTTCAACCAGATTCCTGTGTGTTCTGTGTGGGTGGTACAAGCAATTAAGTGCTCAGCTACTATCTGAAAGATAGCATTTTGAATCCTACCCAGAAGCACCTTAATGCCTGGTGATCTACTTCCACAGATCAGCTGTTGAAAATCTTAGGGAACCTCGTGTGCTCTGATACACATGGGGTCTCTGTGACTTGGAGCTGATGCAATAGCAAGTGGTTTGATTTTTGGTTTTATCTCAAGGTATCGCTGATTATATTTACCAAGAGTACCTTTGGCTAATAAACGATGGATTCCTTGGATCATATGCTGACAGACCCCCTGGAATTGGGTCCATGTGGAGATGGCCATGGCACTCGGATTATGGAGGACTGCCTACTGGGGGGTACCAGGGTTAGTCTGCCTGAGGATCTCCTGGAGGATGTAAGTAATGACCTTGTCTCAGTCTTTTCCTTTTGTCAGCTTTCCTTTCTAGAGGAGCTCTTCTCAAAAGCTTTTTCACTCTACAAGTTTCCCGTCTTTTATGTTCCTTTTTCATTTTCTACATTGCAGGTAGACTTCTTTTATCTTTTTTTTTTTTTTTTTTAAAGTGTAAAGTCTATTTAATATTCCAGTTAAACAATAACGTAAGCTACATCTTGTATGTTTAGTAACTTGTCATAGTAGCTTGGTAATATGACACAAGCCTTATTTTTTAATAAGATAATTTCTAGAGAAAAAGCTTTATATTTCAAGAGCAGGATTATGTATGTGGTTGTCTAAAATGTCCCTAGGTGGCACAGACAGATTAGAGTTAGGTTACTAACTGAAAGGTTGGAAATTTGAACCCATTTAGTGGCACAGCAGAAGAAAGGCCTGGTGATCGATTGCTGAAAGATCACAGACTTAAAAATCCTATGGAGCACAGTTCTACTCTGCGACATCCGAAGTTGTCATGAGTTGGAATTGACTCAGTGGCAATGGTGTTTTTTTTTTTTAACATTAAAATGATTACCCATGTTGTGAATCATTAAACAAAACCTGAACATATTATCTGTCCTTGAGGTTCAGTTAACAGTACGTGTCCCGGAATAGGATATCAGCATGCTGTTGACCACATTCATAGGCAGGATTTGTAATTACCATTAAGGTGAATACCATTTATTTTTTTATTTTTTATTTTTCATGAACATTTCTTTGTTATGAGTTTTTTTGTTTTGTTTTTTTTAATTTAAGGTTTTTATTGTGGATTGAGTGAAAGTTTACAGGGCATATCATCAGTTTCACATTCAACCATTCATATAACTTGTTTCATTACATTGATTATAATCCCCTCCATGAACCATCAGTTAAAAGTATTTTTCTCTATCCACTTTAGCTTTTTAAAAAACACACAAACAAAAAAACCCACTCAG